CAATCCTAGATCTTCCGGCGTAATTAATAAATTATTGAAATGTGGCGGTGATTTATTTGAACCATCGCCGTCGACAGCAGAGATACTATTTTGGTCATCATGTTGAGTAGGCAACTGAGATTTTAACACTAAATTCACCATTCGGTGAGCCCGACTGTTACAGTTGTTCATATTTAAATTCAATGAGAAGCTAACTATACACTATTTAATCAGAAATTCGTTTAACGTGACAACGCAGCAAGTACTTAGTTTCGGTAGTGTTTGCGCGCCAAACGTTGCAACCAGACTGACAAACGATGCACGCTTAACCTTGACCTCAGAACGATCGAATATTTTGTTTCTAATAAGTAAAACACACCTCTCTTTTATGCGTATATGACGTAATATTGTCCTCTCTTTTTAATAAGTGTCCTGCTGATCACATAGGAGATTGCAAGTTATTGTAACGAAGTTGATATTAAAACCTCTTATGTGTTCATCAGTCACATAGGAGGTTAGAGATAAACAATTAAATGTAGACAAACACTTAAGATATTTTAAAAATGATACGTAACTCATTGAAATAAGAAGATATTCACATGAAAGTTTTTTCAGTCAGTTACTCTTTGAAATCGCTTTTCAACTATTTACAAAACTCCTTTTCGACCAAAATGTCACATAAGAGGTTTTAAATTTGCAACGACGATATATTGACGTGTGTTTGCATTATTTAAGTTATTCGATAAGATCTTCTATTACAAAAGGATGTTACATATAATAAGCTCATTTTATTGGAAGGACAATAATTTTATAATTTGAAGTTGATTAAAAATTAAAGTCTAAATTTTGTTAAGTAATCATCGCTTTATACAAACAAATAAAATAAAGGACTTAATTACCTTATTCTAGTTTTTTTCTACTATATGAATATTACTACTACTTGTAATCAACAAATACTTGAACAAAATTCTATTTAGAATCGATTAATAGAATTTTACCCGTATTTCGTTCAATCAATCGATTTAGAGCGGAAGGAGATTTCCATCACTAAATAGTTCTTGTGACAAAAAACGTGGCACGCTTGGTTTTCATACAAATTGCTGTACTTGCGGCGTCTATCTAGATATATATCTGTGGATAGGCACTCATCGTGTAATCTCGAGCGAGTAATGGAGCCCTGGTTACGGTCCGAGTGACGTATGGGATTGATGCACTCAATAGATTGGGGTTGCCCTGCTTGTCTTATTATACTAGTATAATTTTAAACTGTCATATTAATTTATTAAAGTTTGTTTTTTACAGTATTACGAACCCGCTCTTATTTGGTACTACCACTACAACTGTTTGATGATGTTCGACATTATGCCACAGATGAGACAAATGGTCAGAGAAATAATCGTGACAAATCGACTGCAGCGCGGACTTGACGAGCGTCAAGTCTTTGTCTTTAGTTTTGTCTTAGTTACACAATGTCCTTTTTAGTCACTCAATGTACTGTTCTCCAAATATTACGTTTCATGAGTAAAAATGTGTTTTTCTTATACTTATTTATTTATTGTAATACTAAAAGTCAACTAATATTAAAAGGTGAACCTTTTTCAACCACGTCTATACTCTAGGCTTAGCTTAGTCCACGATTCTAAATTACTTTCGACTAGATAATTATACCAAATATATAATACAAAATTTAATCCCGATAAAAGAAGCTCACTCACTAGCATATCCTTTACCTCACATATTTAACCACTCATTGACGGAGGGTTCTTTTCCAAAAGAGTGGAAGAGAGCTAGGGTCGGTCCAATATTCAAAAGAGGCGATCAAAATGATGTGGCGAATTATCGTACTATTTCTATCTTGGCTTGTTTTTCGAAGATATTTGAGTCTGTTGTTTGTGCTCTTGTTGCCCGTCACGTGAATTTCAGCTTCTCCCTTAATCAGCATGGCTTCGTTGGTGGTCGCTCGGTGCAAAGTAACCTGGTACCCTTCGTTGACAATGTCAGTCGCGTCTTGGACAATGGTAGCGAGGTGGATGTGATCTATACAGATTTTTCCAGCGCTTTAGTTAAGGTCAGTCACTTTCTTCTAATAAAAAAGTTGGAGGGATACGGATTTCATGGCTCGTTGTTGAATTGGTTTGTCCCCTATCTCTGTTATAGAACACAGTTTATGGCAGTCAAGGGATATGTGTGCTAGTCAAATGGCGCTATATCGGGAGTGCCCCAGGGTTCTCATTTAGTTCCTATTCTGTTTCTCCTGTTTATCAACGACATCACATCAGCTGTCCATTACAGTAAATGCTCATTATTCGCAGACGACCTCAAAATTTACAAGCATGTAAAATGTACTCAAGATACAATGCTAATCCAACATTATCTAAACAGGATACAGCAATGGTGACTTGATAACAGTATGACCATCAATGTCCAGAAATGCAATTTTGTGAATTTCACTAGAAGAAAACTGCCTATCCTATCCACTTACACTCAGAATGGCACACCTCTTTTACAGACACGGGACATTCGCGACTTGGGAGTCTTGCTGGATGGCAAGCTGAAGTTTATACCCCATTACAACAATATGATCCGTAAATCGACGCAGATGCTGGGGTTCATCAAGCGCAATACCACAGACTTCCTGTCTCGAACAAAAATAATATTGTACAATGCGTTAGCGCAAAGCCACCTGATATATTCTTCTACGGTGTGGAGCCCATTTTACGTTGTGCACTGGCAAAGGATTGAGACCATTCAGCGCTCCTTTACACGCTTTTATATCTCCCAACATTTCACATGGATAACACTACGACCAACATCTTCGCTATTTTGGTTTGACTTCTCTTCGCAGTCGTAGTCTGCTCCTGGATCTGATGTTCCTGTATAAAATACTTCGTGGAACCACTATTTGTAGCGAAATTTTGACAGCAATCAACTTCGTAGTCCCTCACCACCTACCACGACAGCCAATTTTTAGAGTCTTTGCTCCGCAAATTTGCCGCATAAATATAGGTTGTAATGCACCAATCACTAGAATATGCAACGAGTACAATGTCCTGTGTGAAAAAAGAAGTGACATAGATATCCATCATGACACGCCCTTCCACTTTCGTCGTAATTGTCGTCGTCGTCGATTAGAATGAATTCATTACTGATTCATCCCAATCGAATCCTTGAATGTTATGCCCATAAAAATTATTAATTGGTAGTTTGGATTTATGTTTTTCTATAAGTAACTATATTAATTGTTTTACATTTTTGTACTATCAAACAGTGAAATGTTATTGCAGTTAATAATATGTCATTTTTAATTTTATTATTTATTTAAATTTAATTTCATTTTCGTAAATGTATTTCAATTATTTCGTTAATACATTATAAATATTTATAGTTTTTATAACTTTCTAAGTCAGCATTTGGTTGAGTAACGAGCTTACATGTAACTGAAATACATATAAGAACAATGCAGAATGTAACCTCTAGTATAAGCATTATATGTAACTCTGTTGGTTTGCCAAATAAATATATAAATAAGCACACAAGAGGAGGTATTACATTGTCTACAACACAAAATTTTTTAAGACATTCTTTGCACACAGATTTTTTTTGCTCTCAAGAGCCTAGGATACTCGCACACGTGCACGTGCACACGCACATGGACATGAACACGCACCTTACACATAAACAATACACATACTTGTTAAATTACTCGCTAACCAAATTTGTGCGTAAATAAACTTAAGTGCAGAATTTGCCATTCACCAAAAGATAGGACTGGTCCTATGATGGTCCTATGTAAGATACGGGCTTTCCCGTTGAAAAAATGAAGTTTAGACTTCTGTCTCTCACAAACATTAAATTTAAGCTCTGTTCCACTGGTTTTTAAACGAGTCCAATGACATTGCTAAAACTTTGGTAGTATGCTGTTTCTTAATAAAAAAAAACGCGTGCGTTCCTCAGCTTGAGATTGGCGAAATCATCGATTACTGCGATGGGGCCATAACATTTAAAAGAAAGAGAAGATGATGGGTATTCGCGACAAACCCTGACGCATGTGGTATCGTCGCAGCTAGGGCTTCACTTATTTTACAATGAAAATTAAGCAAGTAAACAGAAACAACATCACAAGATAATTATTGTCCTATTGCCAAGTGATATTAACGTCTCCGACATTCTTATTTCGCTTGATTATGCTTCATATTTACTTTAAACTAAAAAATGTACTAGAAAAACGGTAAGATGCACAATGTGCTGCTGGTTCCTACACTGACGTTTGATAGTGAGAGTTGGGTATGGCGGAAGAAGCATGAAAGTATAATTAATGCAGTGAAGATGAGATCGTTGAGGAAAATTTGTGAAATAAAGTCGAGTGATAATGTAAAGAATGCAATAATACGTGAAAGATGTGGCTTAAAAAAAGATGTGGGTGATTAGAATAGAGAAAGGAATGTTGAGGTGGTTTAGACATGTAGAGCGGATGGATGTAAGAAGAATTACCAAACAGATTTATGATACGAATGTGGATGGAAGGGTTTTAGGAGGACGTCTCAGAACATTACATTGACCAGATCAATGATATCCTCAAAAAGGCTGAGACCCGAAGTGACATGAATAAAAGAAAAAGAAGTTGTATGAAAAGGATAGTTGATGTATGTGAGGTTCGAGAGTTGTGTCAGGATAAAGTGGCGTTCCGTGGTCTCCGCCTACCCTACCTGTGTGTCAAGGACGTGAGCTTATGTATGTAATCTATATACATAACAGTAAGATTGTGATTGTTTTATCAAAAAGAACATAGTTGTATAAGTCAGGCAACAGATAAAGACTAGCTAGGAAACTACTACGAAATTTAAGAGAATGGTAACGTCCTAATTTCAGTGTCATGGTCATAGATTTAATACTTATTTATACGCCAAGTAGCCGTGTCCAATGTTCAACCGGCTTCAAAAAAGGAGAAGGTTCTCAATTCGACTGCGTTTTTTGTATGTACACGATAACTCAGGCCTTTGTGAACAGATTTTGATGATTCTTGTGAAAAATTTGTATGAGCGCTTGCGCCGACGTCGGCGCACTCCGCGGTAAGCACTTATCCTTAACCTTGAGCGAGTGACGAAGCCCTGGTATCGGGCAGTATGTAATGGAATAGCAGCCGGTTGTGATCTATTATACTTTTCTATGGTTACTGAAAACAGTCTGCGAAATCCCTTAATAACTATTTCATTATAAAAAGATTGCAAGTTATTATTATTTCCTATAAAATAGGCCTGTCCAAATGCAAATTTGACAATGCCTGTCAAATAATTTTTTATACCTATTTACATTTATTGCGTATTTTTAATGCAAATTTAAATATTTATTTACGATTTTATTACTAAAATTCACGAGGGTTTCAAGACATAGCAACGGTATGCAGTATACACGAAACTGCTTTATTCCCATAAAATAACGGTCCAGGAACATATGTCTAACTTAAAAGAATTACGTAGTAATTATACTCGTGCACGTGGGCCTGTGACACAGAGCAATAAAGAAATCTAGTTGCCCTGCAGTCTGATCAAATTTCTGTAAAAAGTCATTTCCAAACACACCATGGTTAAGGGCAGAATGAAACATACGCGTATGTCCGAATATGACGAACGTGCAGAAATGATTAAAATGGCTGAATATATATACAAGCGTCCGGACAACACAAAAGCCGAAGAATATACTCTACCAATCGACATACTAAATTATGAAGTTGACCCAAAAACGAGTACTCAACATTTTAATTATAAACAATGGTATGCCCACAAAATCGAAAGCATTTACCCTGGCAATATTGACAAATTAGCACAGAATAAAGTTAAGCTACGGATGCAACCGCAATATGTCCGAAATTTGTTTACTGACACGCAAAGCGAAAATGTTTACGAACGGCAATACTCTAGCCAACCCACCTTTATACAAAAACATAGAAACACATCCATTAAAGGCTTCAGAAAGAATAAAAAATTTAGAAAACCTATCTTGGTTACGAACAAATTTCATCCCTATTCGGAGACTGTGGCTAAAAATAGGAAGAGTAAAATTGATAGCAACCTGAGATCTGGGGAGATTGCAGCCGAAATTGCAAAACTGAGACAAAATTATTTAGGCAATGCATCAAATATACTTCGCGAATCTCAAAATATCAGCCCTGCTAATGATACAGACGCATACAAGTCCTTGCTAATAGCAAGTATATTTGGTTTTTTGCCACGCTTCGATTATAACCTCAGAAAGCTTGAAGAAAGTGAACATGAATTTAATCCATATTCAATGACTTATAAATTTGTAAGTAAACTAATATAAAATATAAAAGTAAGTAATTATGGTCACCTGTAGGTAAAGTGGAATTATTTCTTAGGGTATGTCACGATTCTGATACTATAATAATAATAAGAAGAATAAAACCAGCCGCAGAGAGAGAAGAACATAACAATAATAACGCACACACTCATAGCCCCGCACTAGGGAAACCCTGTATTGCAGGTGCCATGGACATACACTTAGACAACCACAAATTACACCCAAACTCACGAAAGAAATAAATGTAGGCCATACAAATATTTCTCCCGATCGAACCAGGGACATCTGCGTGGCAGTAATGCTGATGCGTTTGTACGTTTGCGTCCAAAAATGTGTGGTTTCTAAATGATATTATGCAGAAAATTTTAAACAAATATGAAAACATAATGTGTGTGCCAGACAAATACACCAATTACCAGGTCTCAAATTGAGAAATTCCCCATACTACTACTACTACCTGATTGGGCCACCGAAGTCGTAAACAGAACACATATTTGCGATGCCGAAAAGCAAAACCCTAATATATTACCACATTACAGAAAATATATACATACATACATATACTTCACGCGTTTTTCCCATCGGGGTGGGCACTCATCTTTCGCTTCATTAACACGCATGAATGCTTTCGTACACGCTCGTTGGTTAAGGGTACTGGTAAGTTCGCCTTTGTCGGCCCATACCAACTTGCCCGCTCACACTCGCCTTTATATCTATTTCGTCAATCTTCTTTCATTCATTCTCTCTACATGTCCGAAACATCTAAACATCCCTTTCTCTATCTTTGTCACTACATCTTCTTCCACACCGCAACGCTCTATAATCACACTGTTCCGTAATTTATCTATCAGAGTCACTCTAAGCTCTCGTTTCTACTGCATTAATGCTATTTTCGTGCTTCTTCTGCTAAACCCAACATTCACTACCGTATATAAGTGTAAGAACCAGCAACCCCCATGTACAGCCAGTCGTGCTTTTTAGACATTTTCTGACTGGCCATGACGGCATGCAAGGCACCATTCACCTGATTCCCTGCGTGCACTCTCCTTTCAATGTCACTTTCATATTTTCCATCACACGTAAACACAGAACCCAAATACACAAACTCTTTCACTTGTTCCACTTTTTCTCCTTCAATCAATATCGTGCTATCCGTCATATCTTCCTCTCTTTTAAAAACCATTACATACATGCTTTAATTGCCTCCGTGGTCGAACGGTTACCATGCCGGACTGTCACGCACAGGTACCAGGTTCGATTTCCGGGCCGGGAGAAATATTTGTATAGCCTACATTTATTTCTCTCGTGAATTTAGGTGTAATTTATGGTTGTCTGTGTGTGTGTCCATGGCACCTGCGACACAGGGTTTCCCTAGTGCGGGGCTATGTTTGGCTAAAATAAAATGGCTAAATAAAGCCTTCATGCTAGAAGAAATGTCTTGATTCTCGTGGTATTTACGAAGACTGGTTTTTCGTTAATAGAGGGTTAAAAAGTTTATATCCCATATACAATTTAAATCCCGTAATTATATAATGCAACTTTTTTTGGGGTACAAAATTGCCGCGAAATGGAATGGAAGCGAATTTAAGTAACCATAGCATAAGAAGTTTATGTCAATTGCACAGAAATACATCTAGAGAAAACGGCGACGTGAACTGGGCACCCGTGACATAATCTTGAACCACAAAATTTTCCAAAAGCTCCCTCGGTGTGTGTCGATACTTGATTGCTTGCGCTTGCCACGTTGTGCTGTTTCTACCTTAACAAAAGTACGAGTGTCAAAAGGAGGCATCTCCTTTCACGGTAAAACTTGTTTTAATAAAATAAACACGAAAAAAACGTAAAATAATTAAGAAAGTTTTGTTACAATCACAATATAGCTAAACTTAAATTTCATTGCGTGCTAGACAAAATGCAATCGCACTCAACGCTCTACGTAGCGAGCAGCCTATAACAAAACGAAGTTCTCATGCCTAACATCGCGGAATGGTACTTGTAAATTAGTGATGTAGTAAAGATGTTTATGGATTTATCGACAAAACCAACCAAGTGGTAAGTACAGACTTCGACTTAGATAAATTATTATAATCTTACAAGTTGAGTTAGGTGCTTGCGAGTACGTGCAAATGCATATTAGTGTATGCGAATGTGTGTGAGTGCTTGCGATTGTGTGAGAAAGTATGCGAGTATTTTATTTAAACTACGTAATTATTAATATGTAATGTTACTATCATATTACTTTTTATTATATTATTACTTGTATAAAAAAACATAATATCGTCAGATTACTAATTATGGACTCCCAAGGACACGTAGTGGACGGAGTAAATGCGACCCAAAAAAGAGGTCGCGCATCTTCCGAAGACTTCTCACGTTGTCTCGGGAATCCCGCAGAATATTATGTATCGTTAATTTGTATCTTACACAATTGATATAAACATAATTATGCTATGTCAATTTCGTTACCAAAATTCCTTTCCATTCTAAACTAGTTGTAAACTAGTTGAGCATTAGGCTCAATTTACATTGCCGTGGAACGGAATGGACCGGAAACGGTAATTTCGCCTTCCTGGACGAGAAGGCGCGCAAGGTCGCCGGAATGTTCAAGCATTCGCAAGCTTTCTTGCGACTGCACTTTAAGGCTGTAATAGGTGTTCAGTTATTCAGTGTAGATCTTTTACATGACCAGGATGGTAGACTTGGATATTGTTTTTATTTCGCTTATTTGTGAAGCAGAAGAACAGAAAAAGTGAAAGAGATATTTCAATTCATCAAAACTTTTTGGACAATATAAAACATTTTGCAAATATTTATGTCTGCATCCACTTGTTTTTTATGACTATTATATAATTCACTACGTTTTCCCCATGCATTATTCTTAGAATTTTTGTCGCTGTAGTTCTAGCTTGTACATTGTACAAACAATCATATTTTTGTACCAAATAGATTAACTTCTCATCTGAATTCATAATCTAATTCATCACATACACAACAGCGTACACAATCTATTTCGTCGACGATTGACGTTACATTGCACCAGCCTTTGTGCCACATCCCGTGGATTCGGCAGGAGTCACTTTTTCCGCCAATGCGCGAGCATTCTCGAGTATGCGCGAGAATTCGCCGGAAGATGCGCGACTTGGTTTTTGGCTCGTATATAATTTGTACGTTACACAGTTAACATAATATTCATTTTGCTATGTACAATTTCGTTACAAAAATTCGCTTCACTTCCGTTCCACCGCAATGTAAATTGAGCCTTAGGTTGCATGTCATAGCTTCATGCACTTTTTACAAACAAAGATACTTAGACTATATAATAGCGACATTAGTGAACTGAGTAATAGCCAGTTGTAATGTTAATGATGTTTACTTTGCAGAGCTTAGTATTTTGCGGAATATGTTTTATTTTTTGCCTTCTCATATGTTTGGGAATATGGTTTATTATGTGCAAATTATGCAGCAGAGCCAAACGTACGTTAAAAACAGATAAGAAGATAATCGTTAGTATTATTATAAATACCTTTTGTTACAAATGTTAAGTGGATAGAGTTCACTCTTAATACCAGCACGCTCTTGAGTAGCTATACAGGTCTTTAAGAAACAGTTCGTCCAGGGAAATATTGCCATCTAATATTTTTGCCGCCAAGTAGTAATATGGTCATTACTGCGTTCCGGTTTTGAAAGGTAAGGGTACTGGTGAAACTTCAGGCACGTGGAACTCGTCAACTTTATGTCTGGGTGACGGGAGCTGTGTCAGTGCCCTTCATATATTTGCGATTTAAGCTCTTAGTTGCATTGCAACTGTTACGGATGGGCGTGTCGCTTACAATAGATCGCGTGAATTATTCGTCCCGTCACTTCTTATCATAAAAAAGTCCAGATCCGCGTTCCTGAACTTTTTTTAAGTTTACTGCAGCTAGTGATGCAGTAAGCCGCCAGACAACCCGCCGGCTAACCCGCTAAACACCGACGTATAATGCCCTTTATAATTTCGTGGCAAGCTCTATTTTGTTTATTTATTTATGGCCCATTTACACGGAGCCGTAGTGAAAAATGTGAATTTCACAATGTCCATCTACACTACAACCAGTATTACAATAAGTTTCTTTTTAAATTCTTTACTAGAAGGCAAAACCACTAGTAGAGTGGCTCAGGATGCACGTTCACACAAGGCCTATCACGTGTAGTGGAGGCATTGGTCCGAAAAATTACAAATCGTTTTAACGTAGTGGATTGTCTTTATCACTGATCTGGAGACAGTCCCCAATGGATTATCTCTATTTACACGACGCCAATAATGGCTTGGCTTAATGGAAGACTTCGACCATTGCCCCGTAAACAGTCCTTATTTGTTCATGTGAGATAAATAAATACATATTTGTAAAAAAAATCCCGTAATACAAAAAGCCCGGTTTTCTACTAACAGTTAGAAAAGCCGAATATCTTTTTAATAACAATAATTTACGCGAACACTAAGTACTGAAAGCACTGAAAGCTTAAGCACTGAAAGGGTTGTCACGCACTCCTGGCACCGCTTAAGCATGTCCTGTAGATTGTAATGTAGCCTTCACATCCTCCACACACCTTGCTTAGCGAGTTTAAATTTCAAGATCTAAAAGAAAAAGACATAACGGAAATTAATCTGGGTTGATATAAAAATGTTTAATCTTTTAAATGTTTATCGCACAAGAGATTTTTGGTAACTGGCAAACGGGTTGAAATTTGAAAGAAGACGTGCTTGCCTCCGCGTTTGAGCAGGGACTGATGACGGAACGAAACAAAACCAGAATGGCGCGACAAAGGAATTAAAGAACTATTCAAAATTTCAAAACAAGTGGCCGGGAATCAGAGAAAAGTTGATAAAAAGGTGGGACGACGATGGACGGAGGTCACATCGTCACAGCACTATACTCAAGATTGACATATCACATATAATGTACATTCAAGTCACATATAATGATGCTTTTGTCACATAAAAGATGCATAAAAGTAAAAAAAAATACGAAGTATATAAAACAAATTACGTATCACATGAAATTTCGTAACTCTCCTTATTTAAGCATAAAAAGTTATCAACTAATTTCGTTGGTAGAATTTTTAAACCTTTCCCCTGAAAAGTTGCAATTTTGCAGACGTGGTCTTATTTAATTACTCCAACCTGTGACCTCAATCGACAACAAGTCTGTTATTATTGTTATTTTTTAGGCCCGTAATACTTTCAAGAATGGGATGGATATTGAGAATTACTTCATTTATTAACAAAATATTACTTGGCTGCACACCTGTAATTACTCATTGATACGCTTCATTTCAGAATTATAAAAATCACCGTTCATTCGGCACTCAGCACTTTAGCTGCAGCTAGTGTTGGGTCATGGAAAAATTTCCATTTTGAAAAATCATATTTTTTCAGAATAATAAATACTTTTCCGGATATTTTTTCCTTTAATTTTCCATATTTGACATTGACACCCTGTCGTAAGTTGAAGTTACTGAACGAGAATGATGGAGCCATTAAAAACATTTTTTTTTTTCGCTTTTGTAAAATCATTTTAAATCTCGTTTTTCTCTTAATGGATTTCAGTTATAAAAGTTTATTATAAAATTCTTTCTAAATAAAACTTCAAAAAATATTTCTAAACGTAGACCACAAGGCTTCAAAATTATATTTTTCCAATTTTTTATTTTTTTCCAATTTCTCGAAAATTTTTCCGAAAAGAATTCCACTATTTGGAATTTTTCGAAAAATTACCCGTCAGTAGCTACCGCTCAAAGTCTTCACGCAGTAAATCAAATGTTAGAGCCTTGGTCATTTGAAGTGATATCATTCAAGATGCCAATGATTATAGTCGAGGTTGAAGAGCATCTTAAGATCCATCTTTAGTACTGGACTTAAGTCCAGTATAAAAATCGTCATCTACTAAGTTTTTAAAAACCGTTTATTAATAACAGTTTTGATTTCAGATCATTTCGTTACTGCCTATTGTTCCCACTCTGATACCACTGTTAGGCGTGTATTTGACAGACTCAGCCTTTACCGACATGAAGCCACTACCGAGTCTATACGAAGAAAATCGCACCGAAGCACTAATTGCAGTAAGTTTCACAAAAAGTTGTTTAACATATTGCACATATAATTTAAAAGCAATTAAATGTTTATAAAACATTTGAAGTTGAAAGTTACGCGTAACAGTAGGTACACCTAAATATAAGTGTAAGTAGTATTCCCACGACAACCTGGACCCCGATTCAAAACTCTTCGATATTTAACCGAATCGTTCGATTAGATATCGTTCTCGAATCGAAGGACGCTTTCCGAGCTATTCAGAACATTCGAGTTAAAACGTTCGATTCGGATACGACATCGTTATTCAACAACGTTTACGGAGTTAGTCGGCGAATATAGATTATAAGAAAATGAAATCCTTTTATATACATTTTTGAGACTTTAAAGGCCTAAAATCTAAAATATATTTTTATATTATACATTAGTCTCGCATTAAAATAAATAAATAAAATTGAACAAAATCCAGATTTTGTTTAAAATAGTAAAAAATGTCTAAATAGTAAGAAGATTAGAAATAGTATGAGTTAATAAAAGATTTAAGAATTATTACATTCTTGCTTTGTAAACAATAGGACACTCGGTAACTTTCATTCGATAACTGCACAGAAAAAAAGGAATTCTACTAATAAGAAAGACCAATTTCTCAAAATAATTGCTAATTCTGAAAAAATATTTATTAAAAGTAATAAAATATTGTCATTACAAAAATACTGCTTATCTTTTTCTAATGCAATTTTACTGTTAACTTTATTCAAACTTTTAGACAAATACGTTCACTTCAAGATTTTATTTCATTTCTAATCAATTAATTGGACATTACTTACGAGTACATCAAGAAATTTTTACCTCTTACATCAAATTTAAATAATCTTAAATGAATTCAAAATTTCTTGGGTGTATTTTAAGAAAATATATTCTTGAACAAAAAAAGAAGTAGTTTGCTATTCAGATTAATATTATAAATTCTAGAGTATATTTTTAAAACAACATTTCATTCAAAGAAGTCTCAGAGCCTTGGTCGTATAGCACTCGTTATAAATGTAAAGTGCCGTCGGTCGGTTGCAGTTATCTGTACTAAGGCTGTGGCTAGAAGTACAGTTTTCTATGTTCCATGCATTTGTGTAGTGGCGTTTGAAGTAAACTTCTGTGCTTTTAGTTCTGGCTTAGGTACATATGTCTTAGACGAGCTTGGCTTCGAATAATTATTCGTGCTTTTGTTAGCACTAGGTAGTCCCTGCGGTTTTGCAAATATATGTTCGTTAAAATTTCGATGCAACGGTGTGGAATGCGCCTTATTACATATATCACATTTTTTATACTTTTGACTGACGCCATTTTTTTTCGTCTCGTGCATTAGACATACATAACATATTTGTTTTTTTTGAACTTTTTTAATCCGGTCACTCACGTGTAGTGATTTAAACGCCTGGCAGTGGTGAATATTATGTTCATTGTGACAATGCCAACATTGCCCTTTTTTGTCTTGCATGTATGATTACTTTTCTTGGCTTTTTATTGATCATGGAGCGTATGTGGTATTAACTGTAGTTGTAGTTATGCTCGACTCTAAACTTTTGAACCGTTTTTCTAAGAACTGCATAATTTTTCCGAAATCTTGTAGTTTATTTGTCTCTTCTAGTTGGTCTTCATATTTTATGTTGGTATCTTGGTCCCACTTGCGACTCACTAAATGAATTAAAATCGGACTCCACGTGGATACGTCAATTTTCTGGTTGTTTAGTGCCTCTAGGCTTTCGTTGATACAGACATGCATATTGCGTAACATTTTCGCGTTTGGAAACTGAATTTTGGGTAAATCTAATAATTTGTCGATGAAAGTTTGTAATATAAGTCTTTCGTCTTTGTATCTGTTTTTCAACAATTTTAGCGCCGCTTTGTATTTTACCTCATTTACCGTCAAATGCTTTATCAGTTTTTCTGCGTCCTCACCCACGGGTGTCTTTAGGCATTGCATTTTTTCTGTTGTCGAAATGGTACAGTCGTCGTAAATAATTTTCTTGAATAAATCGTAAAAGAGTTCCATAACTCATAACTTCCTGTGAAAATTGGTATGGTAATTCTTGGAAACTTTGATGATTGAGTCTTGCTATTATGTGTGTCTCGTTCGTAAATTTTTTCTTATAATTTGTTTTATATAGCGTCTAATACGTCTTGAATTGTCGTAAAGCAGTCGTCGTGGAAATATGCGTCGTCGAGTGTATTTTGTTCCATATGATTGTCTTCAATTACTTGACATTGTTTTTCAAGAGTCCTTGTCAGTGTTTGTAAGTGCCACAATGGTTTGTTGTCAACGATGGCGGTCAATGCTGTCCATATCTTCTTCCTATTCTGCTTCAGTCTGTTTTTTTGTACGAATATTTTAGGTGAAATACTCTTGTCGCTGTCGTCTTGGTCGTCGGTTAGATCAAATTTTACGTCTGCGATGTCCATTAAATGTTGTAGTTTGTCTTCATATTTAGTTAGTGTTCTATGGCCGCGTCGTAGTTTTTCTTTATTTGTGTGTCGAAATAGTTTAACGTCTTGTATTTATGTGTCGATATAATTTCTTGGTCTTCCAAAAGTCTATGGTTGTGCTCTTTGATAAACGCTGTCTAAAGTACTTTTTCTGTTCAATATATTTTTGTGTTTTCCTTGCCGGTGAATCCTTTTTGATATATTATCCCAAATCCTTCTTATTTCATTGTAATAATTTTCTTGTCTTTTGATGAATTCGTTGATTCTTGAAATGTCCATTAAGTCTTCTTTTCTTCTTACTTGCTGTCCTACGTACCCTACCCTACTCCTATCAAGCTACAAGTCAGTACTTAGTGTTCCTACGCCTCTAAATACGGTGTTGTGCGACTTCTCAATCGACTGGTGAGACCCGCTTCTGGGAGGCCAGTGACCGATCCGCTACCGTACGTGTGCTTTCCCACAGGTTACACTAAGTATTTAGTCTTTTAGATTACTACGTGCTGGTGCTTTGAGGGGTATACCAACACGCAGCTCTCTACAATAGTCAGTCTGTCAACGTTATTTCCCTAGGGTAAGAGGGGTCGCGTAGTTCAAAAATTCTCGAAGGATCAAAATGTAGAGCCAGTGTTACTGTTGAGTATCGTCTTGTATGTATAATTAAAGCTAGCTGGCTATACATGAAATGGTAAGGGAAAACTGTAACCTATCACAAACAACCCTACGTTCCTACGTAACAGCCTAGCCCTAACCACACTCTACTATACATACGTGTATAGGTAGAGGAAGCCTGCTACCATGCGACCTAAGGTAACAGACAGAAGGTGGGAAGGATAAGGGGTGCAGGGAGTGGATTTTCTCACTTCTTCGTCTTGGCCGCAGTGAGAGGATGCTGTAGTCAGGAGAGTTCCATCGTCATCAATGAGACAACGTTGATGTCTGGATTCAAAGAGATCTTTGTTTCTAAAAACTAGACTATTTATACAAATTCTGTTTACATGTGTGCATGTATATCTACAATATAATTTTTAAATATAAAACAAAGGAAACGTCTACATAGCAGGCTGGTCTTGTATATTGCTATTCGGTCAGTGCACTGCCGAGTAGTCTATTATCGTCACATTGTAATTTATGTCTGGTCAGGTTCTCTGTTCATGTCACGTGAACGTTAATAGTCATGAAAAATTATAAAGTACACAAACTGGGGGAAACGCTGACGTTGGTCACGTTGCTGCTGCACGTTGCACCGGCACGTTGTGCTGACACTGTTTGCGCGTGCTGTTGCGATGCCGCTTCTAATTTGGGGTGCCGACACATGCATGATTTCAGCGATATAATCAACATTTGCGGCACTTAAGAAACTACACAAAACAAAAACATGAAAAAAAACCTTTTAAAAAAAATTATGACGATGACGGTATGCTGTTATTTTTTTGGACATCAACGCAAACCTTGTGCATTGTCGTATGCCCACATTGGGCATACGACACTTTCACCTTCTAGCGTTGGAATAATTTGTATCACGCACTGCACTTAACCACCACATCGAACGTAAATATTTTTATAAACAGTTAAGACAGCGGACTCGCTAAAGAGTATGGTTAAGATGCGCGATAAGTTCCTGCACTTAGTGGAGTTAGGACAAATGCTTTTTGTTTTTTGGCGATGTTCAAAGCTTTTCTTAAGTTATATTGCAAATGCGGCACTACACATTTGCAATACCACTCAAAGCTATCGCAAAGAAGAGAGTGTGGTGCACTGCCACTGCGCATGTCACCCTGAGATGTTAAGTTTCAGAAATTTCTTTTTAAATTTCCAAAGATTCTATCTATCTCTTCGCTTACTTTTCATTATTTTAAAAGTTAATCCTACTTGATATATACCTAATTTTTTTCTCTCATCTTTCAGTATACAAGAGGTTATAAGAATACAATGAATTTACAAACTCTTCACTTCCATAGATGTTACACTTGTGCCGCCAAGCATTACGATATTACGGGCACAAGAAGCTTATATTGGGTTTCTTTACAAATTGACATGGTCAGAAACGTAACCAGAGAAATGAACGATTTAGTCATGTTGCAATTGCAAACCATACACAACATCAGCTTAGTCATGAAGGTACACTTTAACTATTTCTTAGAATAAATTCAGGGTCGTATTCTAGAACTCTATTCAATGCTCAAGTCAGGATTGCACTGGCAACACAAGCACTGGAAATACGACTCTAATGGCAGGGACTTGAGTATGATTTCTAGTGCTTTGAATCATACTCAAGTCCTGACTTAAGCATTGAGTAGAGTTCTAGAATACGACCCTCAGATCTGTAAGACCATACAATGTTAAGTTAATTTAAATTGATCTTAAACTCACACAAGTTTAAAGTTAACTTACACATTATAATATCAATAAAATGGATACTATCACGTGGTATCACATGTTTTTCATATTAATTGTTCCCGAATAAATTTGTCCACAATTGGTATGAACCATAGAACATTAAATACAGAAGAGGGCGTGGCATGTATGCCAACAGTACGCGGTACACTTGAGCTCTTTCCGCCATTTTTACTTTGTACGTTATGGTCTTGCCAAGTATTAAAAACCCTCGATAATGATGGAAAACAGCCTTATGGTAACTTTGGTGTGCAAAAATGATAGTAGTACCTGTAATATTAGGTATCCATGGTGATGTTTCATATCATCGATAAGTCTTATTTTATATAATTTACCCAATGATCTACCAACAAATGGACGTCGGGTTTGCGCCAAAAAATGTCCGCACCTTATAGGGCGTTAAGAATTGAACAGTAGCGAATGACTTTGACGATTTGACCTCTAAGCAGTAGTAACAATTTCATACGCCATCTATCGACCATTCGCTTGTACTTACACAAAGTCATATAAAGATAAGTTGTAAATTAGAATACAGAAGAGTCATAATTGTTTTTTGCAATATATACCTACGTTGTTGTTCCCTCAGAGACATTCGAGAATAAACCATCGTAAAAATAAACATTACATAATATTTTATGGTCAAAATCGTAATAGCATAAATAGTGAAAGTAAATCGTGTAATGATTCGATCGTTACATCCTATCAATTACCAACTAATACTACTATTTTCAAGTATAAAGGAGAAATAGAAAAGAGTAGTAAAATTAAAACAAATACTTTTATTTGCTATATTTTAAATGCATTTAACAAACGTCAACATTTACTAACTAATTATGCGTCATTGAAAGTATAACTTTTATGTGTTATTTATCTAATTTGTTTTATACAATACGTAAATAAACACTTAGATTAATAATAAAAAAAAAACTAAAAGTGATTACGACCAATACGACTAATTTGTTTTTAACTGATGGAAATTTCAACAATAAGAAGTACACAGTACAGTATAACGATACGTACTTTGCGCGAGATTAAATAAATATACATTAAAATGTCGTATTTCCAGGTACTTTATTAACTAAATTGCACTTTGGACATTTTTTCTCGTGGTTTTTGTATTAGACACGACGTCCATTTGTTGATAGGTCAATGATTTTACCATTTTCTCTTCGCAATAGATTTTTGTTATAAGAAACAAAAATAAACCGTATAGGAATATTGTCGACTGTTTTTGGAGAACGTTAATCGTTCGTTGTCTCATAATCCTTCAGCTATTGTCGCTATATGCCAGCACATTGAGTGAAATTTCAATTTAAAGTCAAAACTTCGTAACTTGCAATGATAGGTACTGAACTTTCAACGATATGCCAACTGGGTAAAGTTTAAAATATATTAACAGTCTAGATTTTGTTACATCTTTTAAAAATAGAAAATACTACTAATCATTAGGTGCAGTCGACATCAAAATTACGTGAACAACTATAATTATGTTTTGCGTCAGTGAGGTCCATTACTTACAAAGATTTGTTTTAAAATATTTTTCGAATAACTACTACAATACTCATTTGCTAACATTGACTTACAATTATATGGACGTCGGGTCCGCGCTAAAAAGTGTCCGAACTTATAGGGCGTTAAAATCGTATATAGAGCGTCATTCACGCTTTAGTCTTCGTTTGTTCGACTGACAGCGAAGCAAGCAAAATTAGACAGTACTGCGATGACATTACAATTTGAATTCAACGTTTTAGCTTTTTCATATTCCTTTACATGTCACTACGTT